CTCCAGCAGCAGTAGCCTCTGCTGTCGCTGCTTGAGCCGCTGCCAGATGGTGCTGCTGATGCATGCGTTCACGCCAAAACATATGTGCAAACCCAGGCGCACGATCTCGAGGAGCGCACGCGGCAGCTGCAGCGGCAGGACACTCGCGGCAGCCCCTCGCCCGGCGCTGCCGGCGAGAACAGCGAGAGCAGCAACGCCACCGCGACCGCTACAGACACCAAGCGGGCGGCGGGGCGTCCGGCAGCGTGGCCGGCGGCGCGGGCAAACCCATATGCGGATGCGGAGCTTCAGCCGGCACAAGTCAATGGCTTCACCCTGCAGAAGAGCTTCAAGGTGGGCGGGCTGCTTGTTAGCAGTGTGCCGCGCAGTGCAGGCATATCATGCTGTGCTGTGCTGTGCTGTGCTGTGCTGTGCTGTGCTGTGCTGTGCTGTGCTGTGCTGTGCTGTGCTGTCCTGTGCTGTGCTGTGCTGTGGCAATGAGCGTGCCGTTCTTGCAATGCACGAGAGTCCGTCAATGTAAACGCATGAGGTGCTGAGCGCTTGTATCTCCACCTGCAGCTGTACTGCTGACTGTGCCCCGGCTGCATTGATAAGGCCGGACGCCCCCCATCCAACCTCCCGTGCACCCCTCAGGGCCACCTCATGTCTGTGGCCAACGTGGCCCTCCACCCGACAAAGCCCATCCTGGTCACTGCCTCTGACGACAAGACCTGGAAGATGTGGCACCTGCCTGGTAAGGGGGGCAGGCTGTTGGCAAGCAGCAACGGAGCTTGTCTGCAGGGTGGCTCAAGCTGCTCCGCTTGGTGCGCAAGGGGCATCTGATTCAAGCAGTGCAGTGTGGCCATACGTTGTCCTGACTGCCCCATCGGGCCCAACTACCCTCGCCCCTCACACGCGGATGCAACCCTTGTCCCCCAGGCGGCGACCTCATCATGTGTGGGGAGGGCCACAAGGATTGGGTGGCGGGCATCGACTTCCACCCCACGCGATCAGGGCTGGCCTCGGGGTCAGGGGACGCCAGCGTCAAGCTCTGGAGCTTCGAGAAGCAGCGGTGCGCGCAGGCGTGCGTGTGCGTGTGCGTTCACACACTTTGTGTGTGTTCGTGTGTGTGTTTGTGTGTGTGTGTGTGTGCGTGTGTGTGTGTGCGTGTGTGTGTGTGTGTATGTGCGCGCTCGCACGCGCGCGTGCATGCACACACGTGCCGGGGCTTGTCTGCTGTCGGGGCGGGATCCCCACGACGAAGTCAGTTGCGCAGTTGTGCGGCGCACTTTCCCACAAGGTACTCGCCGTCCCATCTGAAGTCTGCTCGCGCCCTTGCGCGTCACCCGCAACACAACAAAGGTGTGTCGCCACGCTGACCGAGCACAAGCAGGCTGTATGGTGTGTGCGGTACCATGACGCAGGGGACTGGCTGGCCAGCTGCAGCCTCGACCACAGCGTCAGGTGGGCCGGCCTGGGGCAAACCAACTATCTGCACGGGCGCGGGCGCTGGTTTGAGCATCCGCAGCGTCACGCAACAACATGCCTGGAAAGTTGTGATGGTATTTTGGGATTTTGCAGCTAGTTCGCTGGGTCAACTTGGGGTGGTTGAACGCCATGTTGTGGTCAGTCGCCCCGCTTCCATCTGGGACCCACCCTGCAGGCGGCGCAGCCGGTGCAGCAGCGGATGCCCTCAACCAGCCAGCTCTGGCGCCACTAATGGCCCACCACTTTTGCGCCCTTTGCGCCCTGATGCATCCCCAAACAGGCTGTGGGACGTGGGCGCGGGCCGCTGCCGGCAGGTGCTGCGGGGCCACGTGGACAGCGTCAACGACTGCGCCTGGCAGCCCTACGGCGCCGCCATCACCACGGGTGCGGCGCGGCGGTCGCACATGGCCCGCTTAATTGCAGCTAGGCACAGGGCAATACATTCGTGCTGGCCTTGCGGGGGGTTCCTGGCACACAACGCCCAGACACACCCATTGTCCTGCATGCCTTCGCTGCACAGCTGCGCACCATCGCGCATCTTCCCCGTGTCGAGCAACTGATTCGGGCGGATCATAACACACCCGGAATTACAGCCCCGCGTGCTGCTCACCGCCCCCGCCCGCCTCTTACCCATGCCGCCGCCAGCGTCGTCGGACAAGACCGTGTCCACGTGGGACCCCCGCAGCGGACTCAGCGTGCAGACCTACTACGGCCACCGCAACAGCGTCACGGGCGTCGCCTACACGATGGCGGGCGGCACCATCGCCTCGACAGACGCGGGTGCGCGGCTCGCGCTGCCAGCGGGGGGCCCATCACAGCACCACCTGGCCTGGGATTCTTCCCCGAGCAAGCCACTGCCCGCAGGACTTTTCTGCGTGCCCGGTGCAAAATCATGCGATGCAAGCAATTGCATTGTCATATAACCTCTTGTGACTGCTTTTCGGCCCCACCGAAGACGGCGTGATCAAGCTGTGGGACGTGCGCATGGTGGCCGAGATCACGTCCATCGCCAGCGGCAAGTACCCCGCAAACAAGGCGGCCTTCGACACCAGCGGCGCGGTGGGTGGCCCCCGGGCGCGCGCTTTCACCGACAGTTCCCTTTATTTGTGCTGTCAAAGGCGGGCGTCGACGGAAGGAGGCTCGATGACGGCAGAGGCCGTTGGTGGTCCCATGACAGTTTTCGCCGCTAACACCAGCAGGCTGCTTCTGTGAGCCGCCTGAGCTGCACAGTGCATGTGGCCCGGGGGAATGGTTCTGAAGCTTGAACAGAACCCCACGCCCAGTGCACGCTAGCAAAACCGGGATGAATTTTTCGATAAGGCCCCACACCCACTGCTGCCCACTCCCCTGCACACGCGTGCGCGCACACACACACACACACACACACACACACACACACACACACACACACACACACACGCACACACACACAAACACACACACGCACACACACACAACCACTCATCACCACCCCATCCACAGGTCCTGGCTGTGGCCAGCGATGACGGCCGCGCCAAGCTGTACAACGCGGCCACAGGGGAGGCCCTCTGTGAGCTCGCGGGCCACGAGGACGCGGTGCAGGCGCTGGCCTTCGACAGGGGCGGCCAGTTCCTCGTGACGGCCTCCTCGGACTGCACGTTCAAGGTCTGGAGCGGATGAGCAGGGGGGGCTCGGACCGCCGGATGACGTCAGCGGCTGACTCATGGCGCGGGGCCTAGTTGCCGTCACCAGGTAGCTGGGGTGCAGGGCTGCACGCCGCTGGCGAATGTGGTGGCAGCTTGCGGCGTGTCATTCACGGGTGGAGCAGCCACGTGTTGCTTTTTGGGGGCCTGTCACGCTGCTATGAGGTGCCTTGCGTACTGTCCCCGCAGCTCAACAGCACAAGTGTAAGACATGTGTTTTGATTCCCTGGATTCCCCGACGGCTTCACACACCTGCAAGGCCTGTCAGGCAGCGAGAACCCTCACAAGTTTTAGGCGTCTGCAGTGTGGCAATTACCACACGAGATGAGACAAAAATTTGCATGTGCATGAGCCAGTTTGAGCCGACTCTAAACAATAATCAAGGACAAAAGCAACAGCAGAGTCACCAGCTGTGTCGTGGGGTGCCGTCTGAGTGCCATGCTCAGCGCACCAAAACTATCATGGCCGACACTTTGAACAAAGGGGGACATTGTTCAGTAAAACAACAAAGAGAATCAATGCCAACAAGCACAGTCAATGCCGTGCCTGCTTGTGCCAACGGCTACCTGTGAGCGCCTGCCCTCAAGCCCCGCAAAGGAAGGCGCCAAAAATCCATCAATCTTTCCGCATACTGGCGTCCCCTTGTGCCCCCGCCGCCTCCCCTCCGCCGCCGCCCAGCGCCGCAGCCTTGACATTCACCGTTTGGCCCAAACCGTGCCCGTTGGCCGCCGCCTGGTCGCCCTTGGCCGGCAGCGACTTGCTGTCCAGGCGCTGCTGCTTCCCGGGCACGGCGGTGTCCAACGCCTCCAAGTCGTCCCTGCCCTCCTCAATCGTGCTGCTTCGCAGCAGCCACCCCAAACTGCTCGCCGACCCCGCCGCCGCGCCGACGCCGCTGCCGCGCCCGGTCCCGCTGCCGCCGCTGGCCGCGCCCGCGATCGCCGCCGGGCCCGCCGCTGCGCTGAGGCTGCTGCCCGTGCGCCAGCGGAATTGCGAGAGGTCGAAGAACGCGCCGACGCGGCCGCGGCCGCCGGAGGACGGCGCGTCGGCGGGGCGGGGGCTGAAGTTTGCGGACTGCAGGCGCACCATGGGCCCGGCGTCGGCTGCGGCCGTGGGTATGCCTTGGAGGGCGCTGCTGGCGGCGGCCTTCTTAGGGAACAGGAAGCCTGTTTTGTTAGGGGGGCCGGTCGTGAGAGGGGTCGGGGTCGGGTGGGGAGGCGGCATGCGCGCGGCGGCGTTGAGTTGGGGCTTGGAGCGCAGGACCGGCTGCTGTGAGGTGGGCTGACGAAAGGGCGTTGAAGGCCCACATAGGCGGGGCAGCAGGCACGGGCGAGCCGTGCATCAGAGCCGGGCGACCGCTGGCGGCGGCCCCCATGTGGGAGGCTCACATAGGATGACGCAGATGACGTTCAGGGCAGCCCCCACGCCGTTGGGCATGGCGATGAACCAATCCTTGATGGCCAGGCCGCTGTGGGGGAGAAGCCGGGAAGGAGAGGGGCAGCTGGGGTCTGAAACGGGGCGTCAGCGTCAGGGCTGTGGGCCTCGCGCCAGGCGCCGTGGGTTCGGACAGCAGTTGCGGCCGCGGGGCGCATGGCAGCCGGGCGGCGCGTGGCGCGTCGCGGCGTGGTGGGGAGCCGAGCGGCGCGGCGCGGGGGCTCACTATGAGAACCAGAGGGCTCCGTTGACCACGTTCATGACGCTGGGGGGGGGGGCGGGGGCGGGAAAGGGTGCGGGAGCGGGTGCGCTGCGTGGGAGCATGACTTTGAGGTGCCTGCCCCTCAATTGCTTCATTACAAAAGGCTCGTCGACAAGGCGCAGGCTGCCAGTGACGTGGGCGGGTGCTGCAGGCTTGCGCGCGTGGGTTGCGCGTGACATCCGCGGTGCCTCACCTGAGCGGTGCGTTGAGGGACGAGCTGTCCCGCAGGCGCAGCACCTTCCAGATCGTGGTGAGGGGCGCCACGTAGTAGATCGCCAGCACGCCCACTGCGGTGCTGCCCCTATTGAGGGATGGACGGTGGAGAAATCGGCAGGTTGGCGCACACATATTGTGCGGTTTTAGGGTACCCTAAACCAGCCTTGTGTGCGCGAACATGTGCTGAGGTCCATAAACGCCACCCCACCCCCAGCCGCCCCTCTCTGCCAGGCGCGGCATCAACCCACAACGCGCAAGCGGGCACGTGAGGACGCCCCAGAGCCACGCTCACATGCGCGTACACACACGCCCCTCCGCCTCCGACCCCTTTCCCTGTTCCCCTCCGCCCTGCGTCGCGCACCACAGCGTCCGCGCGGCCTCCGGCCCGAGGGCGGCGCCCCAGTGTATGGCGCCCACCACCCAGTACAGCATCACGGTGGACAGCACTATCGCTGTGAGCGCGTCCTGCGCCGCGTCCTTTGAAAATTTGAAGCAGCTGAAAGTGTAGTACCACCCCATCAGCAGGCCAAACTGCGCGGGCGGACGCGCAAGGTGTGGGGCGGGATGGGATGGGTGGGCGGACGGGGCCGCGCACGCGACAGCGGCGAGGCTGGTCGCAGCTGCAAATCTCCGCGGCGATGGCGCACTCAATTCAACCAGGAGGCAAATCCCCGTGGTTGGAGCGCAGTCGCCTGCAGTCTTTGGCGCAGCGCGAAACACCCGTACACCAGCAGCCGCGTGCGTCACCCTGTAGCTGCAAACGGCAGCCCCCATCCCACAACCCAGAATACAACTCGCAGCCTCCCACCTGGTTTGGGACGTAGACCCACCAGTCGCGGATCAAAAAGGCATAGAACAGCCACGCCATGCAGTTGGTGCCCCTGCAGAGCGCAAACACGCGGCAGCGGGGGCCAAATGCTGATGGGGCCGTCGCATGGCGGTGCACCCGACAGCAGCTGGCACGCTGCACTGCAGAACAGCCACGCGACACCCCGCGTGGCTTTGCCCCCGCCGCCTTCCCGACCATCACTCACATGGCCGCAAAGGGCAGCGCGTTCGTCTCCCCTATATACCGCCGCCGCCTGACCTCCAGCACCGCCAGCAGGGGCGCCCTGCGGTGCGGAAGCAGAGAATGACAACTGCTAAGGCACTGTTGGTGCGGCATGCGCCCACTCGCCAGCCCAGAGGTGCCACGTCGTGTCACGACCTGAGGTTGTCAGATTGCGCCCCTACGGAACCCTACAGATGGGCAATCTTGCGCGTTGGCCGGTATCAAAAGTCGTCTTTATCTGCCAAGACCAAACGGGGGTCAACATTGAGTGAGGCTGCGGCTAGGGGGCATTTGCCGGAGCGCACCCGAACATGAATAATGCGATGGTGCCGCCGGCCGCGGGACAGACATATCGCAGGACGATGTCGCCCGCAGAGAGCCCCATGGCTGCCGGCGTGCCGACGCCCTGCAGGGCGGGCCACGCGCCCGCAGGGGGTGGCGCGCGCAGGGGCGGGTGCATGGATTGTGTGGTGCGTTCCACGGCTGTGAGCGGCGGCAGGCGACGGTCGCACGCAGGTGCGGGGGCTGGCCCAGCTGCAAGGGCGATGCCGTAAATTCAACGATCAACATGCGTGGGGGTTGGGCAGCAATCGGCTGCTGCGCCTGTGCACACTGGCACTGGCCGCCTGTGCGCGTGGTGCGCTTGGCGGGTGCCGCTTTTTACCTGGTGTCGCGCCGCTGCGGTGGATGTCCCAGGATACGGGAGATGACGATGAAGAAGTTAATAGTTTATATAGCTGCTGTTTGCAATGCCGCGGCACGAACGCACTCCTCCGCCAGCCGAGGAGGACACAGTTCACGCCGCGGGTGCGATTCGGCGCAGGGCAGAGAAATTGCGGGTATCAAATTAGAATCACTTGACTAGTGGATGGCGAAGTGTATGCAGGCGTTGTCCTTTTGGCCGCCGCACAGTATCAGGCGTGTTCCCACTGCTGCCGCGCTCTGCCAGGCGAAGCATCCCAGCGCCACATGGAATGGATGGTGCGGTCGTCTTGAAGCAGCGATCCGTCAGGTTGAACTGGCTGCTGGGCTCCCTGCGTATAAACGTGCCCCAATCAGTCCCTGCAAGTCGCGCGGCAGCCAGTGGACCCATGGCACACGAACTTGTGAGTAGCCCTGGTTGCATTGAAGCGGTGATTACAGCAGGCCACCGCGCCCTCCTCCTCTCCTCTTCAAGTCTCAAACAGCGCAAGGACGCGCGCAGCTCTCTCGCATAACCGCCGCGCTGCACTTGCAAAACGCTGAGCTCAGGGAACAAAAGTTAAGTGCAGGGTCGCATGGCTGCGCCTGCACAACAGCTGTGCTGGACGGCACTATCTATGCGCGTTTCGAGCCCGCTGCATGAGTTCCACACAAGCTGCTCGCAAATGCACGGCCACTGCCAAATATGCATCTGCCGCGGCAACGGCCGCAGCTGCCGGAACAGCCGGGCGCCGCTGCACCACCTGGCGGCAGGAAGACGCCGCGCCCACGCCCTTGCGGGCGCGTGCGTCCCCCCGCGCACGCACCAACCCTCCGCCGCCGCCGCCGGCCCCCCTCCGCCGCCATAGCCGCCCGGCCGCCGCTGATCGGTCGCTCGCGCTGCCCCGGGGCGGCGCGCTCAGATCTTCACGCCCTCGGGCAGCACGCGGCGCAGCACCTCGGTGCTGATCTTCTCGGCCTGCGCGTCGAGGCTGGCCAGCAGCGCCTCGGACTCCTTCTCCATGGCCGCGATCGCACTCTCGGTCTCCTTGGTGATCTTGGCCTTGGCCTCGTTGTACAGCTTGTCCAGCTCGGCCTGCTTGGCGTTCTTCTGCTTCAGCACCAGGGCAGAGACCTCGCCGCGCGCGGCGCGGACGAGCTCCTCAGCCTCCTTGGTGAGCTGCGCCAGCTCCTCGGCGTTGCCCTTGACGTCGGTCAGCTGGCTGCGCAGGGTCGCGTCACGCTCGTCCAGCACCTTGCCGACGGGGCCAAACCAGGTCTTGTCCAGGAAGACCATCTGATCGTGGTGGTGGATGGAGGAGGATGGAGGAGGAGCAGGAGGGGGGGGGGGGGGGGGAGGGCGGACTGGTGCATCAGGGCGGCGACGCCGGATGCTGCCGCAGCAGCACCCGGCGGCGCAAGTGCGTCGCCCCCGCCCTGCGCCAGACGTGCAACCAGGCCTGCCAATGCCACGATACCGCAGTCATACTGCCAATGTGCGGCCCGAGATGGAGAGTGCGGCAGCCTCGAGACAGCATCGAGACCCGGAGCATCGCGTCCGTCCTCCTCTCACCAGCAGCAGGATCTCGCCGGCCATGATCGGCAGCGTCAGGTTGAAGTCGAACAGCTTTCCGGCCTCGGCGAACGCAGGGGCGGCAGCAATCAGCTGCACCCCCGCCGCGGTCATGGCAGCCTTGGCCAGCTGGGCGCGGCTCTGCTGCTGCTGCTGGGCCGAAGCACGCACCACCATGCGCACAGCGCGGGTGGGGGTGCGCACGGCAGCGCGCTGCGTGGCACCGAACGCCTTGGAGCGCAGAGAGAGCGCCATGGTGGCTATGGGAATAAAAGGGGGTGGTGGCGTGGGCGTAAGGTGACACACGCACGCCCAATGCGGGTATACATCGAAACGCAATGCAGTCCCCGACGATTCAACGGCGCTTCGCCCTTCTCCTCTGCGAAGTGGATGAACAGCCAAGAAGTCGAAGGATTGCATTTTTAGCAGCAATTTTGCATTGCCTGCATTGCGACAGTGGGCCATGGTGGGCTGCGCTCGGCTCACAGGTCAGCGGCATGTGCCACCGCCAGCTCCCAATCAGGGCCGTTCGAATGTGGTGAGCCGTATTGCGGAAGCTAAGGGCTATGCAAGGCAGCAGTGGCTGGTGCTGCTGCCATGATGGTGCAACCACAAGCCCGGAGACTGCAGGTCAAAGTGAGGTGGTCAACAATGGGAACGCAGTCAACTGGGAGTTTCCAGCATGCTCCACCTCGGCCATAGACCTCCCCGCTGCATCAAGGCCCATGTCTGCGCAAATGATTCAATTGCTGCTGCTGCTGCTGCTGCTGCTGCTGCTGCTGCTGCTGCTGCTGTTCCTGCTGCACAATGCGCGCAGATGTTCAGCACCAGCACTTGGCGGCGACACAGCTGTGATCACACATTTACACGTAGTGTTTATCTGTTAGCAGCCAGGCTCAATATTGAAAGGAACGGAGGCCGCTGTTAGAACCGAGTGCATAAGGACAAGCGGGTGCGTGGTGCGGGCTGCATGTTGCAGCAACCCAGCTCAACATGAGCGGCAAGGCGCGTGTACACAATGTGCAACATCAAAAACACTGCGTCGTCCTATGCTAGGATGCAGGCAAAGCAAGCGCCTTGACCCTGCCAAACCTGCCCGTGGCAACGTCCCCCAAAGGGAGCGGCACCGCGCGGCCGCCCCATCAGGGCCTCCACTGCTCCTCGCGCTCCCGCCGCCGCAGCAGCTCGTCGAACGCCCGCAGCTCCCTATCCGCCTCGCGCGCGGCGCGCGCGGCCTCGGCCTTCGCCTCCCGCTCGGCGGCCTCCGCAGCGTCCAGCCAGTCCTCACTGGCGCTGCGCTGCTGCCGCTGCTGCTGCTGCTGCTGCTGCCCGGCCGTCGTCTGGGCCGCCAGGCCCATGAGCGTGCTGATGCCGCCCCAGCCCAGGAGCAAGCCGCCGCCAACCGCCAGCTGCAAATCACAGGAGGGGGAGAGACGCCATCCTGAGTACAGACGCGGCCGCTGTCCCAAGGGCGCTCAGCTGCGAGTGCAGTCCGCGCGGCACATGCTTGTGGTCTGGCCAACAGTGAGGCGTCAGCAACAGCGGGTGCGTGGCCGACGGACATTCCCGCACACCAGGGGCTCACCAGTGCAAACGCCGCCAGAAGGTTTGGGAGCACGAACATCGCCGTCCCCACGGCGAACGACCCGAACGTTAGCGCCACGCCCAGGCCCGCAAACATGAGGAACGGGAACAGCATCGCTGTCATCGCGAACCCCGCCGTGGCGACGGTCGCGCCGACAGCGAGCGCGCCGAACGCGGCGGTGATGACGAGGGGCCCCATGAAGGCCGCGATGCCGAGGAAGGCGGCAGCGGGGAGGGCAAACTTCCAGACATCGCTCTCAGGGACCTCCACCTCGCGCTGCTGTATGCGCATGCGGTAGCGGCGCCCGCGACCGGCGCCGGTGCCGGCACCGTCGGAGGCGTCGTCACGCCATGAAAAGTCGAAGTCGTCGCGGCGCGGGCGCCGGCTGGCGGCCGCGACGGCGGGACGTGCAGGCCTGCGCGCGTGCGG